TTTTATCTAGAATGCAAAATGATTTCATAACTTGCAAAATTGATTGATCCTTAGCAAATAGATTGATCGGGTCAAAAGATGATGGATCCCCTTCAAAAATGGATTGATCAATTTTTGCCTAAAAAGCCCCAAATGGCTAGTTTTCAAATGAACAATGGGTATTTCTTAAATAAATCAATTCCTAAAAGTTACAAACTTATTTCTTTTATAAAATGAGAAAGAAGAGAGTAAACATAAACAAGTTTTATATTCATTCTCTCAAGAAATCAAAAGCTTTTAAGTCAATAATGCTTAAATTCCATATTCTTGTTGTAATTTTTGTATCCAAACTTTATTTGTTCTTCATCTATCATTCTTTGTACTTAAATTATGCAAACACTAAACCTTTGAGAGGTGTCTCTAGTTTGCAAAATATTAGAGCTTAATTATAATCAAGTGGTGACGTATTCTCTTAAATGATTTTGGGAGTTTTTATAGAAACTCATTTTGAGTTATTAGAGATTGCTACCTTAGCCTAGAAAGGTAGAAAATTAAAGGTTGCTATTTTAGCCTAGAAAGATAGAGAGTGAGGGGTTGCTATCTAAGCTTTCAACAGATAGGAATTTCTTCTTGTAAGAGATTCTTCAAGTAGTGGATTGAACTTCTTGGCAAATAAAGCTAAGGGAGAGGACGTAGGTATCTTTAAAGAATAATTAAACCTTTATAAATTTTTTTATTTGATTTCTCTATCCCTACTTTTTTATATCCATTGTTGTTTATTTGTGCTTTAATTTCATATATTTCTTATATTTTCCATTCTACATTTTATTTTTTTGAAAATCAATTTTTGGGAAAAAATTTGAGACAATCTAATTCACCCATTTTGGATTGTTATCTATACTTGAGCTAATAATTGGTATCAGATCTTAGACTCTATTTTTGTAGGTCTAATAACCTTGAAGAAAAGATCTTATCGCTTAATGTATTTTCCAAGATGGTAATGAAGTCCTCATAGCCCCCTAAGATAGAAAAATATGAGTTTTGTGAAAGAAAAATAAGGATGAATATATTTATCATGGCTCAAGATTTTAGAGTATGAAATGTGATAGAATATGGCATTAAAGCATCCTAAAATGGTGACAAATATTTGAAGAAGTTAAAAAATTATGCTAAGGCCAAGTATGTTCTTTGTAGAGCTTTAGACTCTTACAACTTAAATATGGTCTCAAATTACTCAACCTTCAAAGAAATATGGGAGAAACTTGAAGACATGTATGGAGAAAAAAAAGATGGAAGAGCAAGTTGAAGAAATGTCTTGTGAAAGTCAATCCTTAAACCAAAACAAACTATGTTTCATGGCCCTTGAAGATCTTGAGATAACATCTTCTCAAAATCAATCTCAATCTTGTGCATACACATTTGATAAATTACAATATGCTTATAATGAGTTAGTAATTGAGTTTGAAAATATGTGCTTAAAATATAAGAAAATGATTTCAAAATTAAATGTTGAAAATAATTTTTGATGAATACAAAGGATGATTTAGAAAGTAAAAATTATAAATTGAAAATGAATTTTAAAGCATCTAAAAAAAATTGAAATTTTGGAAAAAAAAATTAATTTAAAAAAGAAGTTTGATGATTTGATAAATGAAAAACAAATAGTTTTAAATAATCCCTCACATTAACTTTATTTTTAAACCATGTTAACTTTATTTTTTTATTCTTATCATTTTGATACCTTATCACTATATTTTATTTTAAATTATCAAGTCTAATTAATTTCTTTACCAAATCAGATATCCACTAATTATATCTAATTGGTTAAAAAATAAACAAATAAACAAATAGTTAAACTTAACACCAATAAAAATATAGTGATCAATATATATGGATGTATAGATATAGATATAAAAGTAAATTAATGTATTATGTTAAAAACTAATTTTTCATTATAAAAAACTTGCATATTTATTCTTTAAAAATATATCTGTTTTTATATATGTGTTTATACCCGTTTGTGTTGGTAAAGTGCTATGTGACATGTAAGATCATGATATGTGTGAAACTTAGATCGTGCACCTCATCTTTAATTTTTCTTTTCTTTTTTTTTCTCAACCAAAGAGTAATATTACTAAAAGATTATAAAATTCTGTCTTTCAAAAAAAATTATAAAATTTTAAATGTAAAGTTTAATTTAATTGTTTGATGTAATTTTTTTTTAAAAGATTAAAATATCATATAAATTTATAATTTAAATTTTAATATTTATGATTTACAATTTTTTATATTTATATTACGATTTTTTCATAAAAGAAATATAAAATTCTAACTCTACAGATTAAAAAAAAATCCGAACGGAAAAAAAAAAAAAAAAAAACTGTTAGGAAACGAAATAATTGTAGTTATCGGTCGTATTAATTTTTTTTTTTTGGATAATTGGGTAAATTTGATGGTTAACATCATTTCGCCCCAGCTTCGTTTTCAAGGTTGGTTTGCGTCCATTCAGTTCTAGAGAAATCATGTTAAAAGACAAATGTCTTTTTTCTTTTTTTTCCTTTCTCTTCACCTTCTTCTGCCAAGAGAAATCAACCATCAACATTTAGTCATATCCTTGTTTTGCATTTAAGAGTATAATTTTTGACGAATCCTTTTGCATATGGCTGATCTTGGTATGTATTTAGTCCCCTATGCAGTGTCCACTTACAATTTGCTAAGCATTTGCACTAAAAGGTGAATGGTTAAAAATAAAATTTAAAAAAAAATTTATATTTGATTCCATCTTATTAATAAAATGAATAGGACAATGTCATCTTATTAATAAAATGAATAAGATAATATCATTTTATTAAAGAGTAAATTTTTTTAAAAATATATTAATTTTTATATATTTATTTTAAAAATTAATATTTATTTATTAATAAAATAATATTATTTAATTTATTGACAGTATATAAAATTTATATATTGATAATATATCAAATATAAATTAAAAAAAAAAAAGTAGTGAATGCCCTCATTTAGCTAAGTTAGGCAGCTTCTCCCAAATAAAATAGTACATATATAACGGGGCATGGGTTTCGCCAATAATGGGTGGCTCGACCCGATCTTGTTGGCAACCATCACAAGGCAGTTTGTTTTAGTAATAACAAGTGCAACCGCTGCCATTGTGCTCGTTATAAATAACGGCATTTGCCCATTTTGTCTGATAATGCAAAAATCACCGTATGAAGAGGCAAGGAAAGAGAGAATTAGGTAGAGAGAAAAAGAAAATTTTCAAAGGATTTTTCGTAATTTGGTAATGATGGGATTTAGGCTGTGAAAATAAATAATTTTTGTATTCTGGTTTTGTTTAACTATCACTGATCAATGACTCAAATCAGCATCATTTCCACAAATCCTTTAAGTTTTTCGCATTTTGATTATTCTTAATCCAAAAAAAATGATCTTAATGATGAAGTAGGGGAAGGGCCAGGGGCAGGCACGCAATGGAACGTTAGCCGCCACAAAATTTTCGTGTGCTCCAAAGTAGGCATCCAAATCCAACGTAGCCATCGTTTTCGGAGGATGTGACATGACAAACCCCACAACACAGCAAAACAAAACAAGGTGCGGACCCAGGTCACCCCCACACACGATACATTAAAAAATCTTCAATGTTAGATAGGCCAAAAAGTTTAGGAAATCAATAGCAAATTAGCATGCAGGAGCAGGCAAACAATCAAGAATTATAAAACACGTGCTTTCAACTCTAAACTCAAACCCCTTTACCGTCACCCACCACAAAAAGAAGAGCTCAACGGTGGTGCAACACAGTGTATGGCTTTATCGATCGGACTGAAAGATAGAAGGAAAAGGAAGGAAAAAGCAGCCTATCGAAACAAGAAAAATGAAAGCGAAACGCATCCATCCTTCCTTCCATCAGTCTATCCATCTACCATCGCCACCACCACAGCCACATGCAAAAGTTGAGGTAAAGAGAATGGAAAAGGTGTTGTTAAATAAGAGGAAAACCAAAAAAAGAAAAAATGTGGGTGATGAGTGGGGTCCATGTTTTCTTATCCTCCACAATATCACGAACCACTATAGGTGATTAAACAAGGTAAGGAGGGTAGTCGAGGACAAAGACTAGAGACAACCAAATCTTCTACGAGCAGCACCGAATATGCCAAGTTGACGGTCGAGAAACACTCCGTTCCTCTGCATTCTCTTTTAATCATTTTTATTTAAATTTAATAACTTAATAATTTATATTGTATTTATTTATATTAAATATATATAAAATATATTTTCAAACCTTTAATTTAACGGTTAAAAGTACTTGAAGAGATAAAAAATTTAGTTTGGAATCAGATCTCTTCTATTCCTTTTATTTTTATTAAGATTTTATCTTTTTGATATAACAAAAAATATATATAATATAAAAATAATTATATTATAATTTTTGTCGATTATATATTAAATACGAAATTTTTTTTACTTTTTATCAAATTTATGAAATTTATGTTAAAATTTTAAATTTTTTAATATTATTTTTATACTATGTCTAAATTATCAATTTTATTCCTTAATTTTTATTTAATAATTTATATATAAGAATAGTTTCCACTAACATGCAGTCGTTTCCCACCAATTAGTATAACTTGCGATCTCTCTCAAATTATTGTTTAGATATAATTGGACCCAATGGCTACATGATTTAAATCTGGACCAGCCAAAGACTAAAACCGGATTGATGGAAACTTAGAATATACCCACGTCTTAAATTATAAGTAAAAGTATTTAATTAAACAAGAATTTTTGCTCAAAAAAAAAAAAAAAAAACAAAAAGAAAGTATTCGTTATTGGAATGTGGCCTAAATTTAATTCTCAATGCTTGGAACACACGATAAATTTCCTCTTTAAGATTGGATATTACCAAAACACTTGGCCTTGTTTATATCGTTTAAGGGGTTAGGCACATTGGACGGTCCTGATTCATGATCCTGGAAATCAGTTTATTGTAGATGTTCAAAAACAACGTTACATGATGTAGTTTTCAACGAGTCATTCATGTCATTGTTGGCACAAACAAAAACCCTACATACTTTATCAACCGAAGCAGCCGTTCACTTATCTTTTCTTATATTCCATTTTTCTCTTCTTCATTTAGAATTAGAGCATCAAGTATTCCTCTTTCTCTTCTTGCATAGAGTGAAACAGTTTTGTTTCTCTCTTTAATTTATTATATATATATTTTTCATTTCAGTTGAACCAACAGAAAGGTCAAGCTGCAGGGATATTGGATATAGAAAAAGGATGATGTCTCGTACATGCGAAGAGGTTGCTCGTGGCGGAGGAGGAGAGAAAGGCATCATGCTATTTGGTGTTCGAGTCATGGAAGGGTCTTTCAGGAAAAGTGTTAGCATGAATAATCTTTCTCATTTTGATCACCATCAGGATTCTAACGCAGATGCTGGGTATGCTTCTGATGATGTAGTTCATGCATCTGGAAGGAGCCGTGAGCGCAAGAGAGGTAATTTTTAAACATTTCTAGTCAAACGTTTCTGATCTTGTTAATTATTCTTACTTTCTTTGTTTTTTTTTTTAATGTGAAGGTGTTCCATGGACGGAGGAGGAGCATAGATTGTTCTTATTGGGGTTGCAGAAAGTAGGGAAAGGAGATTGGAGAGGGATTTCGAGAAACTTTGTGAAGACACGTACGCCTACTCAGGTGGCAAGTCATGCTCAGAAGTACTTTCTCAGGCGAAATAACCAGAATCGGAGACGCCGTAGATCTAGTCTTTTTGATATAACAACTGATTCGGTATCTATACTTTTTCTCTCTTGCTTAATAATTAATTATTTGTCCTCATACTTCTTTTTAATATAATTATAATTATTTGTTACTATTTGATTTTTGTGCTGAAATTTGCAGTTCATTAATTCAACTATATTGGAAGAAGATCAAGTCCACCAAGAAAACGTTTCGTTACAGCTTCCACTGCCACAGCCACAGATGAATAGATTTCCTATGTCAACGTTTCCAGTGAATTTAAGCCCTGTAGTTTTACCAGTCACGGAAGAAAATAGGGTCATGGAGAATCTCACAACAGGGTCAAGCCCCAAAGCAAAACCATCTCCAAAGCTTATCCGTCCAATACCAATTTTTCCAGTTTCTCCATCATCAAATATGGCTGATCTTAATCTAAACCAGAAAACCCAAGTTGACCCTTTACCTCTATCGTTGAAACTCTCAACGCCATCGGTCGATGAGCAGTCAACGGCGGCGGCAGCAGCACACTCGTCTTCTTTTCAGGCCATGTCAAGTGGTGACAGCAATAGCATCATCAGCGTTGCTTGAAAAATGAAGAATATCTGGGGATATAGTAGTAAATTAATTGGAGCTGTAAAGGTGCATTAATTAGATGAAAAAAATGATTAGGTGACATTCCTTGTTTTGTGCAGGTTAAATATTACTTAATTAGAGGAGGGGTCTAAAGAAAGTGGGGTGTAGTTGTCTTTGATTTTGTAGGCGGAAATCTTGTTCGGTCTGTCTGGTTACTGTTTGTGGACGAGAGGGAATGTCTTCTCTGCTCATTTTGGTTTGTTGGTTTTTAGAACTTGAACAAGTGAACAAAAAACTATAACTGGATTCTATTTATGTGATTTCTATTTTAATGTTTTTTTTTTTTTTTGTCTTTCTGTGATTGAAAATGATCCAAAGAAAACAAAGCCAGCTAGCTATATGACTAGGAATCTATGATTCTATATGTAAATGAAATGACTAACCAGATCTGGCACATATATAGCTCATGCTACATACTAGATAGTACTGTCATAATTTTATTCCAAATGAATAATCATGTCCTTAATTTAAAACAAACCTAAATCATATGCCTTATTAGTATTATTTATTATTGATACATATGGTTTCAACTTGTAAGTAGGAATACTTTTTAGCATTAAACTCTAAAGATATAAAGTTTTTTTATCAATGATTAGTTAAATTTTTAATTTCAATACTCATAAATTAAATTCTAAGAATGTTACGTACCACATGAAAAGGTTTTTTAATGTCCACATATATAAATTAATTAACAACATGGTTTATTTTCTATGGAAGAAAGTAATGAAATGTTTGGTATATAATATTATGATATGATAAGATAAAAATAATATTATATATCATAGTAGATCAAATAATATTATCTTATTTTATATTTGATATATGTAAAGATTAAGTTATGATAATTTATTTATTGATCAAAGTTATTTTTTTAAAATTTATATAATTTAAATTATTGATATATAATTTTTAAAAATATAATAAGATATATAAGTTAAATCATATGGATTAAAAATAATTTTTTTTATTTTAAAAGAATTGAATCATTTTATATGAAAAAAATGATTAATTTTTTTATAATTTTATTTTTTTAATTATAAATATAATATAATATAATATAATTATTATTTATTTTATTTTATTTTATTTTATTTATAATCTTATAAATCATGACCAATGCCCGTACCGCGTTTCACTTATGTTTCCAACTTACACTTTAGGCTCACAAGTTTTTACCAGTTTCTTGGAAGTTTTGTTGGTTTGCTCAATGATTGAATGATGGAATAGGGAATATTGATCGGCTTTTATCACCGGTTCTTTATTCTTGTGTTTCAATTGATTCTTGAAAAAAAATGATTAAATGATTAATCAACGTTAAAAAAAAAAGAAATTAAAATTTTATCTTTTATGATAAGAAACTTAAAATAATATTTTAAGAAATCAACATAAATATATGTAAATATTTTGTTTAACAAAAAATTGATCGATTCACCCACAAAATTTAATTTAAATGATAAAGGAAAGAATTCAATTTTTTTTTTGTCTATTTCAATATTTGTAAAGAACATTTTAAAAATAAAATTTTGAATGTAGATAACAAAATGTAAAGTTTGGATGATACACAAATATCATCTGAGCAGGAAATTAAACCCAAACAAAATATAGATGATACTTCTAGCTGTATTAAAACGATTCAACATACGTACGGGACTGTTTGACTCCGTTATAGGATTGGATGGGCTGTTGGCTGTTGATTCAACCAATCAGATGGGTCTGGTCCATCTCTTAATTCTTGTAACTCATGATTCCCAGGCCGATCCAGCTACCTCCATCACATAATTAAATTACCCCTCATTCAACGCTTGTACGTAGATTTCCGAGGATGAATGAGCATATGTCAGGGCTCATGCAATGTTGGTAAACTGGCGTTTGTAGTACTTCGATAAAGAATTCAGCTGGTGCTATTGTGAGAAATTCAAAAGAAGAGCTGATTGATCATGGAGTTCGTTTGAAGGTAAAGGCTGAACCGGCTCTTATTATGACCTTTAGCTGTAAAGGAGGGTGTTTAGTGCATTGTCAAAAGAAAAATACCATTGGATATGGATTCTTGAATTCTCCATTCTAAAAAACAGAGTGCTGACTGCAAGTCCTGACACTGTTATTTGAAGCCAATTATAATTTGATTCATGTAATATGTGATATATATCAGAAAAAAGTTCCAAACTGATTAAGAGAAATGCCAATAAAAACAACAGATCAAATAGCAGCCCACTCGTGAAACGGAAGTGCAGATCAGGCTGGATAAGACAACCTCAGTCCTCTTTGAATAGTAGGGATGGATTGTCGTATCATTTTTAATGTTATTATTATTATTATGATTTAATCATTGAGATGAATTTATCATTTCTGAGTTATAATTATTTTTATTTAGTTTATAATAATTAATTTTTAAGAATTAAAATTTTTTATATTTAATATTACTAAAAATTAAATATTACATTATTTAAAATACAAATATAATTATGTATATTAAAATAATTATTATAACATATAGATCCGTGAATTTATCACTAGATATAGATTAAAAGAATCGTCATCAATATTTTTTGTTTAGGTGTAATTGATCACCTAATAGAATCTATTATGTTTAAAGAGGAGTCCCAAAATTGACCTAAGTATTTTTAAATAATAGATTCTGATATATGAAATCAGATTTTAGGTTCAGAGTACGATTATACATGAAGAAGGTTATAGCACCATCACAATACCCATCTGAAGGATAGTACCAGTTTGATCTCAAATTATCTAAGCGTTAAACATGTTTATAATTTATCAAAATATTTACTACTAAAAATTGATTTCAAGATTACTCTAATAGTTTGGTAGCAATTTAAGATAATTTTTTCACTTTAAGAGTATTCATTGAAACTAATGTCCCACTTTGAAGAGGCTCCATCATTGGATTTGTTTATGTATTTTACCCAAGAAAATAGTTAGTAAAGTCCTCCAATAGTTTGATAAGATATACTTTGATGCAAATCTCTCAATAGTTTGATGAGATTTTATTGTAAAATATTTATAAAATTTTGCTTTTGAGAAAATTCATTAAATCATCTAATAGTTTGGTAAGATTTAACTTAAAATGTAATCTTCTAATAATTTGGTAAGATAAGATACAAAATATTTTATTGATTACCTAATTTATGAAATTTTTCAATAGTTTAGTAGAATCCATAAAATTTAAATTTATAAAAAATCCTCTAATAGTTTGGTAAGATTCATGAATTAATTTGAAAAGAGAATTTTTTTTTTTTGTTTTCCTGAAATAAAATAATAAAAGGAATTTTACAAAAGTATTTTAAAGAGTAATAAATTGCTTAATTAAAATTAGTAAAATAATAATGATAAATAAAATAAGAAAAAGCTAAAAATTAAAATTAGAAAATGAAAAAAAAGAAAAAAGAAAACTTGCGATTGTGTCGAGTTGCTCCACGGGTGGTATGTGGATCCTAAATGGGTTCACGAGGATCCTAAGCCTTCAGAAACAATGTCGTTTGGTGTAGGTATAAAGGCCAAGCTTCTTATTTTTTTCTTCAAAACTGTTTAGCCTTCTTTTTCTCTAGAAAATTTCACTTTGCTTTCTTTCTAGAAAATTCCAAAACAAATCATAAAAATTGGGTTTGATCATTGGTTTCTAGAAAATTGATCGAAATTTGGCCTAAAAATTCGAACATTCAAACCAAAAACCCAGTTTTTATTTTAGATATTCCAGATTTTTCAAAAATTTCCCAGAAATTCAACTCTAGACTCAAAAATTCAAACCTAAATCCAAAAACTTCAAACCCAGAGCTTTAAACCCAGAATATCAAAACCCATAAATTTTAAACCCAAAAACTTTAAACCCAAAGATATTTCCTCCATTAAAAACTCTACCCTCTTTTGCATTTTGTGTCCAATTTATAGCTAGTACTTAGTAGAGATTTTAGGACTTGAATAGAATCAATATAGGCTTAAATCCTAGTATTGAATTCTATCCAATGTGATTTTAGGCTTAAGTCTTTGTAAATTTGTCTATCGATTTGATTTTGAATTAAGAACCCCTATGATTATGCAAATTTGATTTCCTTTTAATTATATCGATTAAGAAAAAAAGAAAATAATAATAATAATAACAACAACAACAACAACAACAACAACAACAACAACAACAACAACAACAATAATAATAATAATAATAATAATAATAATAATAATAATAAATAGTTGATCCAGACATAGATGGGTGTTTATAACTGTCCTTCTTTGCACATCTCTGTTAGACAAAGAAGATGCAAAGACCTCCATATCCATTTTGTCCGGGCCCAAAAAATGAAAGTCAAATTAGTAAGCAAAAATAACGAAAATGATTAGGACTGAACTGTAAGTCTAATAATTTAAATGATCTGGACTTAGCTGAAATCAAAATGAATGACCAGGATTGAACCACTGGTCAAAAAAATGATCTGAACCGATATGAGATCAAAAGAAGTGACGAGGGTTAAACTACAGGTTAGAAAAATGATCTGGATCAAGTCGAGATCAGAATGAGTGACCATGATTGAATCACAGGTTAAAAAAATGATCTGAATCGAGTCGAGATTAGAACGAATGACTGAGACTAAATCATAGGTCAAAAAACTAAATTGACTTGGACTAAGTTGAGGTCAAAGATAAATGACCGGGGTCTAATTGCAAGTCAAAAAAATGATCTAGATCAAGTTAAGATAAAAAATGAGTGACTAAAATTGAACCGTGAGTCAGAAAGATGATTTGACTCAAACTGTGATCAAAACAAGTGATAAATGATAATGCAACGATGCAAATGCATGCCCTATCTAGGATGTAAATGAAACTTCAATTATGGTACTAAAGTTTTGATGATTTTTTTCCATATTCTCATCTCTACATACTTCTCGTGAAAAGATTACAAACCATTCTTTGTTACTTAAAATAGGCACTTATCTTTGTCCCAAGGGAAATTTTCAAAATCAATAACTTTATCATACTTTGAAGATTTCATCTTTGCCCCCATCCTTTTCAATTCTTTCAAAGTAATACACAATCTCTTATAACATTACTCAATCATTAATCATTATCTCAATTTCAAAATATAATATTCAAATTATGCATTTCTTTTATTCATGGCAAAACATAAAAAAGGAAAGGCAAATATTTAAAGTTAGACATAAATAGGATGAAATGAATATCATTTATTTAGAGAAGAAGTAAATTATAGATGATGGCAAAGGAACAAAATAAAGGTATATAAGGA